GTGAGCTAAGAGATTGCACAGGTAAAAGTAGTGAAAGGTATCAAGCTTCAGTCTACATAATCCTGTGGTGATAAACGGTAAACACACAATGAATCTCATCTGATGACTAGAAACTGAACAATAGAAAATAAGGGAACAATACAATATATATCGGTTTTGCTCAGAATGTAAGAGACTTGAACAAGTTACAGAGACTTACGGTGAATAAACTAACAAACAATACCAGATCAAGAAATCCAAAGCAGTGCCTTTCAGCAGCCAAACCGAACAACCAACCAAAGAAATCCACTATAAAACTTGAACAAGAGTTTAAATGAGAAATGAACAACAAGAACTGCCCAATCCCAGATGAGTAAGAATCTAAAATAAGAAACAAAACTTATCCCTTGTTTCCCAGAGTAAATAAAGATATGGGCCTGCAAAACGTGTAGCCGAGCATAGCAAAGACTTTGAATTTTCAGAATAAAAGAAGCAAAAAGAAAAAGAAACAGAAAAAATCGGGATTTTGAAGTATTAAATAGAGCTGGGGTTGACTTGGTAAAAAAGCAGAAAAATAATTAAAAAAAAAAAAGGGAATGTGCAAATTGCATTGGAGTTTTCCAAGCCAGCCAATTGGTGGGGAATATTCAACATGTAACGGCACCAATAGGAAACATACATTGAGCTCACAAAAGACCAATCAACAAGTTTTCTTCTTTTAGGCATTTTATCAAATGGGTCCATGTAAAAACAGAAATTTCTTCGAAGGCCAGCACAGAAACATAAAAAATATTGATTGTAAATATAATGATAATAAAAGGGCAGGAGAAATTTGCAACTTGTGCCGGCGCCCATCGGAGACTGAAAATGATTGGAGTAGAAAATGGTGGAAAGGTCAAAGGATACTGTGTGCCGGCGACTAAAAATGTCATAAGGTTTCGAGAAAGAAACAAAAATGTAAGATTTGTTCAAATGGGACGCTGCTAGTTTTTTATTACAGTGAAAAAGATTTGCAGAGGCTGGCAAAGGAGAACGAGTTCCAACTTCCAAATCATAATTTGGGCGTTGACTATAGGATTCTTGAATCTGTGACCGGGTCAACGATTTCAGAAGTAGAAGTTCAACTGTTCAAATGTCCATAAATAATAAGAATTTTTGCATTTATTATACATGTTTTTTTGGCTCTTTTTTTTTTAATATAAGAAAAAGATATTATTTCTTCTCTTTTTTTTAAACTTAAATATTTAGATGATTTATTATATTTTCTTTTGAACGTTTGAATTGAGTTTTCACACT